GGTGTTTGCGACTTATCTGAACGAGGAGCCAAAGTATGGGCTTGATGTGCCCCTCCACCTGCTGTGTTCACCGTGTTCATAAGGGCCACTCCACTCTCTGCTTCAACTTGAACCATGTCTCGCTGGTCGTCGGCCCTGGTGCCCTGTGGCCAAAGGGCGGCACGGGCGGCACAATAGCGAGGAAAATACGCCAAAAACAACAGTAACAACGACAACTGCAAAAACGGCGAGGTCGCGGTCGCGGTGCGGCGGTGATAAGACGGCCGGCCGGCAACTCGTTCTTCTTCTTCCTGGTCTTTAGCTCCGGAGACCCCCGCCCCGCCCGCGCCCCGCCCTGCCCCTCGCAGCTCGCCCAGGTTGCCGTCTTTGTTTACATTTGCGCCCCGCGTTTGGCTCATCACCGGCCGTTATGCAAATCCGGTCGGGAGAGAATCCGGATCGCGACCGAAGGCTAACCGGTCTGCTAGTCAATAAGTGCGAAGATTAGCAGTGCCTCGCTGGGCCAGGGCGGCCAGGGCGGCCAGGCGGGCGGCCCTCGCGACGGCCAGCAGCACGCCGCAGCACGGCGACGACCAACTTCGGTCAGAGGTGCACCTGCAGCGGCCTGCAGTCCTGCCGCCCTTCGACGGCACCGTGATGGACTCCGGCCGGTCGACTCGGCAACCGGTCTGCCGGGGAGATGGAAGTGGTTGGATGCGGTGGGGAACGGGTACTCGGTTCTAATCGTGACAACAGCTCATTTTATTTCACCGTCCCGTCCGTAACGTCGCTGGCTTGAGGGAGGGGGTAGTTTGAGTACAGCGACATCTCTGCGACAGCCCTAACGTGACGTGACGCTTCTGCGACGGCTCGCACGACGAGTCCGTGCGCCGTGCCGACAGTGTGCCGACACGGGAAACGTCGCCGGCGAGCTGAGACGAGTCGAAGCAAGGCGGACAAAGTTCAGCGGGGCGGGGGGCGGGGCGGGGCGGGGCGAGGTGAGGCGCACATTCCACAGGTCCCCGCGCCTCCGCGCTCCACACCCCCACCCCCCACCGCACCCGCACGGCCGGTACGGCCCATCGCCCCGACAATTTTTGCCGATCTATGGGCATTGCATGGAGTGGAGGCCCCTTCTTGTGCTCCTCACTTTGTTATCAGTTGACACGCGCTGTCATCACTCGCCCAGCAAGCATGCCTTTGTATTCTGTCTTTCCTCTGAGAGAGGTGATCTCCCTCTAGAGGCGCGCTCCGCTCAGGGGACCCGGGCCTGGGGAGAGTTTAGCGCACGCGCCACGCACACCGAGCTGCGAATTATTGCAGTGATGTGGCAGTGACGCTTATCGCGATGGCATCTGGCACTGCCAGACTGCCAGTCCTGCCAGTGCATGCGGCCTGCGCCTGCACGTGCGGCGGGGCGGGCGGGGCGGGCGGGGCTGGCGGGGGCGGGACTACCGGGCACCGATGTCGCGCGGCCCGCGTCGTCGTGGATATTGATCCTAGAAAACGGCGCGCCAAATGCCAGCCTGGACTGGAGCGCGCCCAAGCGCGCCACGGGTAGCCACGGGCTGCGCACCGATGCTTCTGGAACTCAGGAGCCGCCCTGGCCGCGCCGGCCCAGCCAGACAAAAGCGCCCCGCGCAGCACGCAGGGCCTGCAGGGCGTGTCAGGGCTGCACGGCCGCCGGATGAGGCGGTGTGGTGGCGCTGGCCAATGTCACCCCGGGACCATCCGCTCCTCTCCTGCTAGCAGGAGCTCCGGGAGCCGTCCGGGCCGCCGGAGCCGTGCTGGCCGTGCTTCCGTCGTCGGTGTCACCGCCACGCCGCCGCTGTCGCTTTGGGACTGGTTTGGAGCGGGTTCTGTTCCAGTGTTCTGTTCCGCACGCCGCCACGCCATCGCCACGCCACCGCCGCCCCAACGACGGCCCGGTCGGTCTGACGAGTCTGACGGTGTCGGCGAGGCTCCAGCGCCGCTCCAGCCAGCCAGCCAGCCTGTAGCGCACCAGCCGCACTAGCCTATGCGCACCAGCGCCGTGTCGTCCCATGCCCCATATCGATGCAGGCCCCGGCACGCCCCGGCCGTATCGAACACGATGCAGGCCCTGATACTGCCTGTCAACTTGTCAAGCTGTCAGGCAGCATGGGGCAGCCGTGCCCCCCGCGGCCCCCGCCTCTCCGGGCCTCTCCGGGCTTCTCCGGGCCTCTCCGGGCCCCTCTGCGCTTCGGACGGCCGTGCCTGGCCCCATGCCTGAGGCCTGGCCTGCCTGGCCCTTGGATGCACTTCCAGTGCTGCGCCACAGCCGGGATAAAAATAAAACCTCTTGGAGATGCATTTTGTCGGGACGGGTTCGGATGGCACGCCGTCGCCGTCGCCGCCCGCATGGTAGGCTGGCGCTGGCTGGCGCTGGCCGGCCGGGGCGGCAGCGGCCTTCCACCAGGGGATCAGGGCTTCGATCAGCTCCAATGGAACAAAGAGCCTCTGCCCTAGGCTCGGCCCCAGTCGCCTGGTTCCGAAAAATCGTTTCGAGGCTCCATCTCTCTCGCACCCCCACGCGACTCTCCATGAGTGAGAGCGACGAAACGACCCTTGGGAATGAGGTGGGCTGCGGCTGCGCCGGGCTGCGCTCGCACTTGGGCCCTGCCACCGCGCCACCGCAGTCACCCCGTTGGCCGTGGCGCCGTCGCGCGGCAACGCTGCTCCGTACCCCTGTTCCTGTCCACGTCTCTTCCTGTCGCGGCGACGAGGCGAGGCGCTGCGACGACGCTGTGATTGGCAACACTGTAGAGGGGAAAGCAAGACGGCATCGAACGAACGGCCGAACGGGCGGCCGCCACCCCCGCGCCGCAAAAAGCAGAAGACAGCGCTCGATGTGGTTGGTGGTGGCGTGGCGCGGTGGTGTTCCGGGCACTGCCGCGGCATCCACCATGCCATCGCGCACCGGGCGGCCTTCACGCTCACACCGCACACCGGCAGAAGGGTGGAAGCGGGAAGCCGGACGGGTCTTGCTTGCGGCAGAGAAAATAGAAGTCGCACCACCGCGCGGAATCCGGCGGTCGGTGGCGGTAGTCGGGTCCGGCGGGGGGTGAACGCCCAACTTCCCCGAGAAGTGCCACAGCGTCGACCACGCCAGGCCAGCCCCCACGTCGCGGCTGCCGCGGCTTTCTCGATTCAGAGCTCTAGACTTATCTGTCGCCGGCACGTGCCTAGGAGAGTGCCTAGGCCTAGACAGGGAGGGCCGCGCCGCAGCTACGCCACCGCTGTGCCCCAAGTTCACGGCGAAGGATAGGGCCGGGGGGGGGGGGGGGGGGGTAGCCGCCAAAACATTATGCGTCAACACGAATCCCCGCCAGCCGGTCGCGCCGAGACCACGCCAAGGCGCCTGCCTTTTAGCCAACAGCAGTCATGGAGTGACAGAGACACCGAGACCGGGCGACCATTGACGTCGGAAAAGCAAAGCCAGCAGAACACTAAAATGACGCACGGCGCGGCTTAGCGCTAGACTCGCTCTTTCCCCCCTGCTCTGCAGTAGCCGGGGCCGTACCGGGGCGGCTCGGCCGCCCACACGAAAGGCAAGCACGATTCCGACTCAGCTCGTCGGTTCGCTTTCAGCCGCTGATATCGGGCGTAGGCCCTCCGCTGCAGCAACTGACGACATCGCAGGCGACAGGCGTTTGCCAAACTTTATAATGGCGAGCTGCGGGGCGATGGTACCGCGAGGGCGCGTGCACCGGGCCTGCTTCAGCGTCGGCGCGGCTTAGTATTGCCGAGTTTGACCTTCAGCCTTCAGCCCCGCGACGGGCGGACGCGCCTTTGGCTTTCGGCACTTGCGTGCAGCGCGGCGTGCAGGCTGCTGCAGGAGAAGGGGAGGGTCCGCGATGACGTGCCATGACGTCCGCCCCGCCGCGGCCTCTCCGGGAAATCCAGGACGCCGGCGACTCCCCTGGCACCACGACGGCGCCTGGTCCAGCCAGCCAGGCCCCAGACGGCCGGTCTAGAGGGACTCCCGTGGCACCAGGGAAATCCGGACACTCTAAACCGGCCGTCCACACAGTCCGTCGACACGCGGCGCCGCGATGCAGACACGAACACCGGCCCACTTGGGCCCGCGACGAAGCATCTGTTGAATGAACACGTGTTTCGGCACGCGCCGGAGTCCCTGAACCGACAAACGGGCTGCGAGCAGTGGCGTGGCGCGTACGCAGCGCGCCCTGCCTCATCGCAACCGGACGCGTTTAATTGCGGCGCATTAATGCGTGTTCCAGTACCCACAGCCATTCCTGACTTCGTGGCTCTTTCCGCCGTTGTGGCGACGCGACGGCGACGGCTCCGCGCTCCGCGAGGACTCTTAGCTCCGCGGCGAGAGCCCCCGGCAGGTAGGCAGCAACAGCGCCCCGGAGCGTCGCCGTTGCCTGTTGCCTCGCCAACACGGCGTCCGCTCCGCCGCGGAGCCTTGTCGGAGAGGCGTCGTTCGGCCGTTGGGAGTGAAGACACACGTCACCAAGTGCCCAAAGGCCGACTGGGCGGATTGACAGCGACGGGGAATGACTTGGTGTGCGTTTGTTTGGCGCCTCACGCGTCTAGGACCCTAGGACCGCCTCGTATTGGCTGGGGTCGAACGTGACCGTCGAAGGGAGCCAGGAGATCGAGCCCCGGTATCGGCCAACTCGACAGAGGGAAAAGTTATTTACGGAATGTTAGAGGAACGAGGAGAGGAGTGGTGCGCCGAGCCGAGCCAAGTCGAGCCGCTGAGCCGAAGCTGCTGAGCCGAGCCGAGCCGAGCCGAACGGGCGCTGAGCGGACAGGCTTGAACCTGTCGACCAATCACCGACAACATCTACCTCAAAGTCGCAGCCCCTAGGCGCCGCGTTCGAAAGGGTACGTCGGTCTCCGTCGCTCTCGGCGCGTCTGGCCCGGTCGGACGGAGATGGCGGCGCTCGGGTGCCGTCCCCGAACGCCGCCCGAAGAGCAGTCTGCGACGAAGGGACGCGACGGAAGGCAGCCGAACCGAGCCGAACGGACGGAGCGGCCGAGCGCCGGGCATTCTCGTTCGAACCTCGTTGCCGTTCAGACGTGTGCGCGACGTGCTTGGCTTGTGCGAACCTTGCGGCACCCTGCGGCCCTGCCCCGACTCGTGTGTTTTATGCCCCAGTGCGTGGACCCAGTGAAGAAAGTGGTTAACTTCATTTCCTGACTCCGTCATCACCATGGGAATCAACAACGTGAGTGCTTTTGTTGTTTCATCTTTTCTGTTGAAAGTTGGAAATTTTATCTTGAAGTTTTACTGTGCTGATAGTGGTGGAGCATGAAGTGAACATCTGTGAATATCCAGTATACGTCCTTTTGTTTGCTTCTATACTTTTCTAAAGAAACTTTGTGAGTTCAACACAAATTGTGTATTGTTTTTAGGCATGCGGCTAGCTACATTAACTGTAATCCTAGCAATTGTAACAAACTTTATTTCGTTGATCATGAACATGTTCTCTGTACTGTTACAAATTTTTTAAATAATTTTTTTTTCAAAACATTTTTTTTTTTTTTTAAAAATATTTTTCAAATAATTTTGCGCTGCGTGGTTGGTGGGTTGGGTCCTGCGTGCGTTGTGATTCGGTATCCAATGTAGTTGGGCCGAAATATGGAGGGTCTAGCGACAGTCTAGCAATGCCTCCTCCGCCGCGGGGGTAGGCGGGGGGCGTGAGCGGGATCGGGACGGTGCTGTCCTGAATGTTGCCGTACTTTCTCTCTGATAGTTGGTGTCCTCGCGCGGTTTTCTCCGAGCCGTTGTGCTTACAAGAATCTTCTCGGGGGCACAGGACTGTTTTATTGAACTTTTTGGGTTGGTAACCTCCCCCTCCCTCTCACCCAGATATCCGTCGATAAGTGGACGCAGCGCCATACATCATCCAGTTGCCGAGATAGCGTTAATTAGCTACGACTTTTTCCGCAGTGCAGTGCTTGGCACCTGCGGGCCAGCCGGGCTTATTAGCAGGGCCTCGGTGGCGTCGTGACGCAGCGGGCAGAAACACCTGCCAAAATACGCTGGTATTTTGCAACGGTTTGGCGCGTGGGCCGCGACTGTGTGGCGCCTGCAATATCCATTCTTCATTGCTGCCCGTCACGCCCCTCCCCTCCCCACCCCAGGAAGAAGATAGGTGCGGAGGCCTTGGTCGTCACGCTCGGCCTGCTCGGCCTGCTCGGCGGCGTTTCCCTTTCTGGGAGAAAAATGAATGAGGCGGCGCCGCTCTCGTCTGGTCCCTGGCAGAGTGGCTCCCGAGGTCCTGGATGGCGGCAGGCGGGGGCGATCGCGCAGAAATCAGATGCAAACTGGAGCGCTGCCGGGGACGCGATGCGCGTTGTTCGCCGATCGTCCTGCCGGGTCCTGCCGCCCGCCGCTGCCGCCGCTGCCACGGCCCCGCGCGGGGCCACGCGAGGCTACGCCGGGCTGGAAGGGAATGCCGGCGTGGCGACGCCTTGTTTCCGCGTTCGCCGCGTTCCGTGGCGCCGGAGTCTTGATTGACCCCCCTGGACCGCGACCGCGCCGCGACCCGCTTCCAGACGGCCGGCCGGCCCCGTCGGCGTACCGCGTACCGCGTACCGTGATAAGTCGAAGGCGGCCGTGTACGTCAGGCCGGGCCCCGCCCCGCCCCGCCGCGCTCATGGCGGCGCTATCGCCGTCGTGCCGACGTGCCAACGGCCGCACGTCCACGACGGGCACCCCGCACGCCGCCTGCACGTGCCGCCGGCGCGGCCACTGCCAAAAGTCGAAAATCACGGATTGACCAATCTGCGCGGCCGCGGCACGTTTTGCACTCTAAGCCGATCGGCGTGTTCCTGCGACGCTTGCGACTTGGGCCGGGCCGGGTCCGACGGCCACCATGGCGGTTGCCGTATGGTGGCCGGGGAGGCGGGCGGGGCGGCTGTTCCATGGGACGCCTGTTGATAAACAATTTGGGCAGGGCGCGGCGGGACAGGGCGCGACGCTAAGGGGGAGTAGTACTCGCGGCTCGTGGGGGTGCTGGCGGCGCTGGCGGCGCTGGCGCCCTCGCGGAAGGGGTGGCGGAGGGGCCCACCGGTACTGTCTTGGTGGGGCGCGGAAGGGGCGGGCCGGCGCGGCCAAGGGGGTTGCCGCGTTGCCGGGGAGGGGGCGCTGGAGACCCACTGAGTATTGATCGGCCAGGGACTGCTCTAGACTCGCTGGCCTGGCGCAGTGACGCACAGCTAGCACAGTTGGCCCCGGAACTTGGGCGTACGTGGTGGCAGCGTCAGACATCGCGCGCCCCGCTGCTCCGCATTGCTCCGCATCCCCGTCATCGCGCTGTACCCGACATACCCGCCGTTCCGTTCCGCGCTCCGCCCAGTGCCTCCGCAGCGCGTTCTGCTATCTTTGTCGCGATACCGCGGTGGCTTAGCGGCTTTGCGGTGCTGGGGCCCGACGCGTTGCTGAGGTCACAGCCAGGCCCGCATGCCTGGGCCACCCGGGAAGGCCCGGTGCCCTCAACCCCAGCAGCACCCACCCCCACCCTCAGCGGGGCAGGCGTCCGCCCCTGAGGGGGCCGTGTCCCCCGCCAGCGCGGCCAGCGCCTCCGCCGAGGCTGTCACGGCCGTGTCGGGGTCCGCAGCGCCCGCATCTTGCTCGTGTGAGCCAGTGCACCCTGTACACGCCTGGCCCGGCTGCCTGTGCCCCTGCCCCCTGGTACCGCCCGTGCCGACCGTACCGCCCCCGGACTGCCCGTCGTCCGCCCCCGCGTCCACGTCCACGTCCGCCGCCGCGTCCACGTTCACGTGCGCGCCCTCGACGTCCGCGAGCGCGGGCCCCGGCACTGGCCCCGACAGTGTCGCGGACACAGACGGCACTGACGGCACCGGGCCCCAGCGAAGCAAACGGCCCCTGGGCTTCTTATCGGCTGCGTTGCTACCGCCGCCGTCGCACGCACGAACGAGTGCCAGTGCCCTTCTGCCCGCCGCACTGCTCAGCATAAGCACCAAGACAACAATCATGTGCTCCAACAGCATGTACCGGCAACCCCTGCCCATCATAACCACGGTACGCCCGGCGCAGACGGCGGCACCTTTAGTCCCCTTGTCAATGTCGCCTTGAACGCTTCAACTCTCCGGGGGTTCGCGGGGTCGTCTGAGGCCGGGCTGTCACCGTCGTCGACTCGGGTGCCACGCACACAAGATTCGGTCTCGGCCGTGGCGTGGGCAGGGAGGGAAGCCCGCAATCAGCTGGTTTGAACGATTGCACGCCATTCGAGTGGGGCTGGGGTCCACCATGTCGCGTGGAGGGAATGTTCGAGAGAGGGTTGCAGTTGCACGCGCTGCACCGAGGATGGAGCATGCAGCATTACTTGTGCAGCGGGAGCGGGAGCGGGGTCATGAGCATGTGGTAGCCCTCCCACCCGCCCATCTCCCCCTCCCCCACAATGCCTCACGTCCTCCACCTCTCCGCGCCCCGCGCTCCCGGCCGCGGTCCCGCCGGTGGCCCCGGCCCGGCCCGGCGTGCCCGCGCCCGCGACTCTCCTCGTCCGTCGTGGAGGACTTTGACTCGAGGGCCATTCGTATCAGGGGCATGCTATGAGACAGTGTTGCGCTAGTTTTCTTACCCTCTCGGCATAATTCTGTGACGGTCATGGCCAGTAGAAGCCTCGCGCAGGTGGGAATGAAGCTTCTGTGGAACCCCGCGACGAGGGTGAGGTTAACGGAGCGATGTTGATGTGCATTTCTACCCTCTGCTGTTTGAAACACCCTTGTCACCACGTGGACACTCCACCAACCCGGCACCGATATTGCCACGTACATTGTTACTGTAGATCATTAATTTCTAAAGCAACACAATTACTTTTTTGCATAGTATTGGTTTTGCAGGTTTTGGAGAGATCAATGTAAAGTTTTATGAATTAGGTTTGGTTACATTCACTAATGTAGTGTTCTCTTTTACAGCGCTGTGCTGAGAGCAAGGAAATGCGAGAGATGGCATCTCGCATTTGCAGAGACTACCTCCATGGTGCTTGGAAGCAGGTTTCATCTCATGACATAGTGCTGAAGCGCATCAGGTAAGTAAATGAGTCATTAATTAGTAAACAAATTTGAACAAATGTTTTAACATGCATGAAGTTTAGCTAATATTTAAACTAAATTTTCAGTGGTGGTCTGAGCAACTGGCTCTACCATGTGTCTCTTCCTGGTGGTGAGCAAGCTCTTCGAGGAAATGAACCATCACAAGTTCTTCTTCGTCTCTATGGAGAGCTCCACGGAGGAGAACATGGTGTTGAAGGTCTTATCACCGAATCTGTTATTTTTACCTTACTATCTGAAAGACGGTTGGGACCTTGCCTACATGGTGTTTTCCCTGGTGGACGAATTGAGGAATATATTCCTGTAAGTTGCAGTCTTAATACTTATTTTACTATGCTTGCAGTATGGGCATGTGTCTATAATATTTTGTTGTTTGTATTTCAGGCTAGATCCCTGAAAACTGCTGAGCTTGCTGATCCCAAGCTGAGTCCTTTGATTGCTGAAAAGATGGCTGAAATTCATGCAATGAATGTACCGATTAGCAAGGAACCGAACTGGTTGTGGGACACTATGAACAGGTTAATTTCTCTAATTCTAATAAATTTTTTGCAGCTTTTCAGATTTGTTTCATGTCAGCTTATGTTCACTGGTATTTGTTTTTTTCTCTCTGTAGATGGCTTCAGAATGCAATGGTAACCTTAAAGGACCCTGCTCCCCACACCACTCCTCGAAATGCCCACATTATCGCCAATATTGCCAAACTAGACCTTGCTGCTGAAGTGAAATGGTTGAAGTAAGTGCCCTAGCCAGTACAATTCCATGTGTCTGCTCTGATTCTTGTCTGTTTTTTAACTTTTCTTCATCCCCACTTTCAGGAAATTCCTCACACGCGTAAATTCCCCTGTTGTTTTCTCTCATAATGACATGCAGGAAGGGAATATCTTGTTAGTGAAGGACTGCATCCCAACGAGACTAGTACTCATTGACTTCGAATATTGCTCATACAATTATCGTGCCTTTGACCTGGCTAACCATTTCTTGGAGTGGACATACGATTACACATTGGAAGAATTCCCTCACTACAAAGCTGGTCGCAGTGATTATCCATCACCTGAGCAGCAGGTAAGAATCAAAAACTCTACTACCATTCATAACTTGATAGTCTTAAGTATGAAACCAACTAGGAAGAGCTCTTAGGCACCTAGAATAGTGAAGATAAGATATAATTGTAGTTTAGATTTAAGTCCTAAAACTCTTACAGGGTTTGAGGTAAGTGTCAATTTAATTACCACATGATTATTTTCATATAAAAATGTTCATCTCTCTACATTTTGGCAGTTGACTCACTTAGAATAGCTTGGGTTTCTAATTCCAAAAAAAAATCTGAAAGGGAGGGCATAGAGAGAACATTTAAATGATTCAGCTTATTCATTTACATATTGGCAGTATGCATCATTAGTTATGAGTCACTGCAATTGTAATCAATTTCAACCTGACTCTTGAACGTGTTTATTTGCTGGTGCTCCAAGAGTAAGAGGAAACCTTTACTTTCTATTTAGAAGTACTAAATTATTTAATTAATTCCTGTTGGTGTCTGTGTTATATCAAAGCGGATTGTGTTAAGTTTTGTTCTGGATCCCTCTTACTCTTGGCCAATGTCTCATTTTTTTCTACTTTCATGGGTGTTCATGAACACATTCATTACTATTCATCCATTTAAATTAATCACCCATGGATAAATTAGAAACTGTTACAAATTTATTTTAGCTTGATATGAGATCAAATCTTTTCAATGATCAATGTTTGACAGATTTGATCAACTCAGCATCAAATTCCAAAAGAATAATTTAATATGTTGGTTGCACTGTCTCCTGTCAGCTAAAATAAATTTGTTACGATTTCAATGGCCTTGAAGTCCTATTTATAGAAATGATAGGTATATTTAGGATAATATAATTATTAGAATCTAAACAATGAAGCAACAATTGTTTCTTGTTTCTTTTTGTTAGAACTAAGTTTGAGGTGGTAAACAATTGGACTGCCCCACCTACGTCATTGTCTTGCAGCTGTTCCTGCAAGAGACTGGAGATTTCATCGAGAAGAAAGAGCTTGGCTTGTGCAGGCAGCAGCTGCTATTATTTTTTCTTTTCAGTAGATGCAAAAGTAAAAGAACCACCTTTCTGAACTATTTTGTACAGATTAAGCCTCGTTTTCTTTAAAAATCTTTGAGTTATGGAGGAATAATGAATCATCTTTTTATGCATTTGCACTTAAAATTTATCTTGTGCATGGCATGGTGAGTACCATGACACCTTAATTTTCACAATAGTTTCACTGAAGTGTTACTTTCTTTGGGTGATAAAAAAGATATTGTTTTAAAGTGCAAAGAGTCATAAAAAGTAGATTATATTTGATAGTTGAGAGAGATACATTTCTCTATTTAAAAATTGCTATCAGCTGCTGGCTGTGCCCTATAGTGAAACCCATGCCATGCTCTTGACATTATGCCCTTCCGCCATGTGTGTTTTTTGTGTTGCTTGATTTCCCAGTTCGCTGAAACGTGACGAACGTGCGAACTCCTCTTTCGCTCCGGCGTTCGAGCGGATCAATGAGCATCGCTGCTTCATCCAATGGAGCGGAGCAAAACCTAACCTGTGTCGAACCTCTGCAGACAGTGCATTGAAATTGAGTTGTCGGGGCTAAATGCCTGTCCACTTCAAGGAAGGGAGATGTGGAAAAGTGGAGTATTGTTTCTATCGCCGATCCGGCTGGTCATCAGCTGCTGCCAAGGCACCTCGCGTGCTCCGAAACCCGTTAGGTAGCCTAGGTAGTGAGTTGTAAGGTGAGCAGCACGCAATTGATTCAAATGGCTTCTTGACCTATCTAAGTTAATTTTTTTTTTAAATGATTTTTGGTATCTATTCCTCAAAAGCCATGTTTGATTTTCTTCGTGTGCTATTTGAATAGATTGGTGGAAGTTGCTCAAATCATCCTTAAAACTTATACCTCTTTAGTTTGCTTATGAAATGTGACATCTAGTTTGTCTCTCTTGTTTTCTATTTAATAATTGGCTTTTACGAGAGTCTCGGTCAGCAGCTAAGGACCTAGCCTTGTGGCATTGTTCTTATCGTAACTCACAAACAGCATAAGCTGTTATTCAAATAATTTAGTAAATTAACTTCCAGTAGATGCTTCTGTGTGCATGTGAGAGTGAATGTGTTTTAAAATGTCATTAATTAAATTCGATCAATATTTTAAGTTTAGTTTGGGTGTGGGTTTTATGGTGAGTTACTATTAAAAATAAAATAATTTTTCCAACTGAGAGAACCTTGATAATAGTTTTATTTTTGATCCTTTATTGGTTCTCAGTAACTCTCTTAAAGTTTAACTTTCTTGTGTGAATGCGTGTGTGAAAGTATGTGTGAAAGTGTTATGCCCTGTGTGTCAACTAGACATGTATCTGAGCGCATTACGGCACAGCTGTTGCTCTTATACATGCACAGGAGTGGTGAAATGTAAACTTCTGCCTTAGTCTCATTTCGTGCCTTTTACTAAATACCCAGATGGTGGGTTGTTAGCACCTCAATGACCAGGGTGGAAGTTTATGCTTATGTCACTCTTAATGTTGCACACATGAGCCATAACTTAAAATTAGGACTATGAATGGAAAATTTTTTCTCTATTATCTTTGTTGTGTAATGACCAACACTGAAGAACACTATTTTATTGAAAAATCCTTAGAACAGGAAATTTTGAAATTAATCCCTTTTTATCTCAATATGATAAACACTTCATTTCCATAGCAGTTGAGTATGTAAGTCAGCATACTCTCTTGTTTGTGTTAGCTGAAAAGAAAAGTTTTTGATCTCCTTTATTTTTTGTATGATTTTCCTTAGATTAATTTGTGTTGGGACATTAAGTGTCAGCATCTTGCTTGAAGTACTCAAAGATGAGACGCTTCAAAATGTGAATTTAAAGGAAGTGAATATTTTGATATTCTAAAAGTTAATTTCTGTTTAAAAAAAGGAAAAAATAATAAGCTGAAACCGGAATTAACACTTCTTCCAAAATTAGAGTAATCTTTCTGCCATGCAGTGGCTTCAGAATGCCAGTGTGGCATATACTTGACCTGTCATTTGTTACAGTAGCTGCTATGTGCAGTGAGGTAGGAACTGAGTTCCACACTGCTCAGGTAACCCACCAATATTACTAAAGTTAGTCATAAGTCCATTAGACCCTAACCAAAAGGCAGCCTTCCCTGCATTTCAATTCATATAAAACATGCATTATCATACAATCAACTTTGGGAAAATCATCCTGGTCTGTCCAATCTACTCCCCCTGGCGCACCTTCTAGGCCACTGTACTGATGGACTGGTGCTTATTCCAGCTCGCCTTTGTCCGGGCGTATCTGCAAACTGCTAGACAACAGAGAGAGCACAACTGTGGTGGAACAGTTGACACTATGACCCCCGGCCAACACCCCACCGAGGAGGAAGCTGTCCTGCTGAAGGAAATCCGTGCATTCACTCTCTCCCCTCATCTTCTGTGGGGGTTGTGGAGTATTGTCAATGCAACTGTGTCACAGATCCCCTTCGGCTATTGGGTAAGTTCGTGTTTTCCCATAACTTTTTTATCAATTTTTCTTTTTAAATTTAGGGCTCTGCATGATGCTAATTTTAACTTCGGTTTTACAGGAATATGCTGAAGAGCGTCTGAATGCTTACTTTGAAGCTAAAGCTGCTTTTTCATCAATGTGCGATTCTGTTGGTGTGAAGAGGAAGACTGATGATGTGGATTAAATTCTACTAGCTGTAGAATTAGACTTGTCTTTTAAGCTGTGATGAAAATCAGTATATTTTCTTTATGAATTTAACTCTTGGCATCTAAGAAATGCACTGAATCTCAGTAATTTGCTATAACTCTCACACTGTAGTGTATTTCATGTGCATTTAGAAAGCTCCTTAATTTATTTCTTCATTAATTCATTACATTCGATGGTCAAAGCAGATGGCCTTATATTTTATTTAATCTCATCACTGGGATGAACAAAAGTGATAATGGAAGACAGATGTGTGATCTTGAATGAATGTTAATAGTATGAATGTGTGTTGCATGTGCGAGTGTGTGTGTACTGACCTGTTGTGAACATGTAGTGAACATGTGTAATTTATTCTAGTGCCCGATTCCGAAGAGAGTTTTATGAGTGAGTCGGTTTGGCGCGAGTGCCAATACGATGCTTGTGTACCTTACTATGTGTATAGTCCTGATCTTGTTTTTTAAAGCCATGTATAAATGATTTTTGCCTTGATCGTGCTTTTTAACCTTATTTCTCGTTTTTATTTGCACACATTTTGTTGTTAATTTGAATATGAAATTTAATTTTATTTAGCCGGTGAAGCAAACTTAAAATAAAATGTCTAGTTAGTGCTACACTGCAATTATTGCAACAATGTGATACGCATCATGTAAATTTTCCACTGGGCAATCCATATGCCTTGTCTTTTCCTCTGCTTTCTTCTTTCTTTCTGTCTCCATGTTGACTTAACCGTGTTTCTATTTTCTTCTTCCTTTTTCATCATTAACTTTCTTCAATGGCATTTGAGTTTAGATTTATTTGTGTTGTATTCATGAGTGAGGGCCAAGTCTGTGATGTGTATTGTTAAAGCTCTTTTCTAAGCAAAAGGAAAAACAGCATTTACTGCCAGTTTTTGTTAAAGAAGAGTTTATGTGTGAGTGTCCTACTTTTGTTAATTTTCCTGTTCAAGGAAAGACAGTGCTTTATACATATTAAGTTTACTTTAGAGTGCACTTTGCGCTGTGATTTTGCAACATACCTAAGACATTTTAAATGCATCATCTGTAGCATTTACCGAATTAAATTGTCATTCAACCAACAGTATTTATTATTTTATTTGTTGGAAGGAAGTGCACTATTGTAAATATTTTACAAATGCACATTTTGCATATTGATTGAAATTGCTCTGCTAAACAAACTCACTCTTTGTTGTAAAATTTTGTGCAAAAACAGATATTTGTCTCCTTGATACTTACTGATAATGTTCATCAGTTTTGAGCTCGTTGAAAACTTCAATTCATTCAATTTCAACAGTCAATGTGCCTGCAATATTTGTAGAAAATAACACCTTTAAATCCTCATAGGAATTCCAATGTTGATATTTAATTTTGTGGATTATTGCATTCTTTGATTAGAAAACTTATATGACTATTTTATGAACTTCCATAAGTATATATGTGTGGCTATCATGGTTCTTAGTGTATACCAAATTTCAAGACAGACAAGACCACTGTATTGTAAGCTGACATGTTTTATGGTTTTAGCTTAACAGTTTGTTTGTGTCATCATTTTTACCATCAATCTCTTCTTATGCTTACTCACTTGTTTCCTTTCAGCAAAGCCATGTACATGTAGTACCTGTTTACCAAGTTCAAAATTGTATTCAGACAAAAGCCATTAGTGTAGGAATGTCTTCTGATTTATTTTAAAATGGCTTGATGAAAGGTGCAGTAGAGTCTGGACCTATACCCAGAAAGCAGAGTTTATCTGTGAGTTGTGGATTATCACTGCATTTTTATCTCGTCCTTTGTCAGCCATTTTAAAATGTCAAGTCCATTATTACCATGTGTAGAAACAAAAGAAAACACCTGGATCTCTTGTATAGCAAGTGCTGAATTTGGGAGGCCAAGGAGAGAGAGTGCTGAGGAGTAGCTCTCTGTACTGTTGTATTTGTAAGACTGACATGGTTATGTCATAGTATAAGTTCGCACAAGGCGATACCAGTCCTAATTTTGAAATATGTAATCAGCAGGTGTTAAGTATGCATTGATTTAAAAATAAAACTTTTTATGTACTTAAACTCTGTGGTACCATTTTCCTCCCCTTACACAGAAAGGAACACTCAACCGTTTCCCCTAATGAGTTTTCAAACACATTTCAATCCGTGATTGTTCTGGAGGAGCTAGCAAATGGACAAGCTAGGCTCTGCAACGCTGCGCACCCGATCCCCTTCTCAGTAGGGTGCCACGGAACTGGTGCTCTCGGTAACGATATCAGAGGCTGGACCAGAAACGAGAGCCTGACTGCGAGACCCGGACGCCGGTGCCGGTCCCCGGACTGCAACGTCGGCGTCGGCACCTCTAGGCCTAGGCGGCCTAGGCCCCCGGCCCCGGCCGTTGTGGCCTGTAAACGCCCCTTACTCTGCCAAAGCGAGTTGGGGGTGGCCGTGGCCGCCGCATTTCGGAACGTTCTTTTCTTGCGACGTCAGAGTTCTCCTTGGGTTGCCAGAACGCGTCGGAAGGCCTGGGCGTGGGTGCGCGGCGGACCTCCCGCGGCGGGGGAATGACCTGCAGGGCGGGGGCGGACCCCTGCGCCTCTTGGGGGTCCTCCTCGGCGTCCTCCACGGCGTCCTTCGCGGTGACGTGGACGGGGAGCTCTTCCAGGCGGAAGCCCCTGGGCCCCGCAGCGGGGCCGGCCAGGTAGCGAACTTGCACCAAGTCGCCGTGAGAGTCGACGTACACCAAGGACCCGGTTCGAGATCCGTCCTCCAGGACGTGCTCCTGCGGCTCCAGGGCCTCCAGCGACACTGCGGTGGTGCTGGTCTTGGGGGCCGGAGAGGCCACGGCGAAGGCGAGGGCCGCCACCACGGCCACGGCGCTCGACCTTGATTTCTGTCATGTGAAGGAACGCGACTGAACTCACTGGTGCGCTTTTTCTCCTTCCTCCCTTTGCGTTCGCTCCACTCACCTCAGCCAGCATGACGAAGTCCCTGCAGCAGCAGCAGAGGCACCACCAGGTGGTCTCGCTCTCTGGCGGCGCGCGCCTCGGGCAGCCCCGTTTTATATCGAGACTATGGCAAAATTAAACCGAATCGGCGGCACGGCTCGGTGGGCACCCACGGACAGGACCCTGGAGCCCAGGCCCCAGTCACAGGCCGCCGACTGGTCGAGGAGTGTGCCCGGGAGCGGAGTGTGCCTATCTCTGGCGATCTCGGGGCTTCTTTCCAATACACTTTTTGGCCTCAGCCGCACCGATCGCGGTTCCGTCCACCCTCCGCTCCCGTTTGTAAAAGCGCGCCGCTCGTTCCCGCGGCCCGTTCCGACCAATGGGCGCGCCGCAGCGCCGCGCTGGCCGGCCCTTCGATATCGATGCCTCGAACGCGCTCGCGGCCCGGTTGCCCCGGTCGCCATGGCAACTCCGTTGACAAACATTGCCATGCTGCAACTGGAGTGAGACGGCGCCGCACCGCCGTGGCCGCCGTGACGCGGTCGCCGCCCGTCCTTCGCGAGTTTTCCCGTTTTTTCCTTCCCCATTTTGGTGCGAAAGGGCCGGCTGCCAATTGCCACAGAGTGCCACCTCGGGCCCCGGCATTGCACGACCGCACCAGTCGCGAGTTCATCGCCCTGCCTCTTCAATCGTTTTGGCTCAACCATCAGAGCTCTGTAGGGCTCCGCGAGTGCACTGTAGACGACCGCGGACGCGGAGCAGCCCTTGGAGACCCGCGGCCGCCCGAGGCGATGTGTGACGAGTGACCCGATGGCGGTCCCGGACTCCGAAGTCTCAGAGGCGGCGCGCAACCGCCCGGCGAGCCCGGCGAGCTTGACGCCTGGGAGGTAGGCCGTCCCGTCGAGCAGCGGTGCCCGCAACGCCACGAGTTGCCTACCCAGGCAGGCGCTCGGCCAGGCGCGGCGCCCGACGGTGCAGGCATGTCGGGGACCATCTTCGACGAGGACGGCGTGGCGGAGCTGGAGAGGATCATGGAGGAGTCCGGCGAGGACGAGGACGACGTGGAGGAGGACATACAGGACGAGGATGAAGACGAGGAGGACAAGGACAGGCCGCGGCGTCCACGCAGTGCGGTGCCCTTCCGACGTGCTGCCTCTGCCGCGTCTCCTAGCGCCAAGAGGATCCACTGGAAGTAAGTGGATGAAGTGGGCAGTGTTGGACGTTTCGGGGCTTTCAGGCCCGTCACGGCGACAATGCGGCCTCAGCATTCCAACAATGCCACTGCGAAGTGGACCACACTCTGAGGGCCTGGTCTACGTACTTCTCATTTTAATTTTGGCGGAACTGGACCTCCAAACACTGTCAGCAGTGTCATGGGCCTAGGTCAGTGGTTCTCAACCTTAGGGTCGCGACCCCAAGTGGGGTCGCGAAAAAATTTTAAGGGGTCGCGGCGAGGTAGCTGGGGTCGTGTTTTGGGCCGATTTTAAGCAGCCACTGCGTCTGATCCGAGGCGGGCATTTTGCTCCCTCAACGGGCAATTGGTCTTTGAACCTTCCTTTAGCATGCCTTTGTTACGGAGTGTGATTATCAGTCTTAGTTTGGGAGCAGTATTGTCTCAAAGTTTACCAAAACGGTCAGAAATGTCTTTGAAAAATCGTGTTTTGGGCCGATTTTAAGCAGCCACTGCGTCTGACCCGAGGCGGTATTTCGTCCTCCTGCAACGGGCAATTGGTCTTTGGACCTTCTTTTAGCATGCCTTTGTTACGGAGTGTGATTATCAGTCTTAGTTTGGGAGCAGTATTGGCTCAAAGTTGGCCGAAACGCTCAGAAATGTCTTTGAAAAATCGTTGTGCCTGTTTTGGTCAACTTTGAGACAATACTGCTCCCAAACTAAGACTGATAATCGCATTCCGTAACAGAGGCATGCTAAAGGAAGGTCCAAAGAACAATTGCCCGTTGAGGGAGCAAAATGCCCGCCTCGGATCAGACGCAGTGGCTGCTTAAAATCGACCCAAAACATGATTTTTTAAGACATTTTTGAGCGTTTTGGCCAACTTTGAGACAATACTGCTCCCAAACTAAGACTGATAATCGCACTCCGTAACAGAGGCATGCTAAAGGAAGGTCCAAAGACCAATTGCCCGTTGAGGGAGCAAAATGCCCGCCTCGGATCAGACGCAGTGGCATGCTAAAGGAGGGGTCCCGTGGGGTCGCGAAACTTTTCCTGGGGGTCGCGGAAATTTTTGGCTACAAATTTGGGGTCGCGAGCCGAGAAAGGTTGAGAACCGCTGGCCTAGGTGCAACATTTTGTCACCATGATCTGTCAATAAAACGGAGACACCTCTTCCTGGTTTTGCCATTCTGAACCCTTTTGGTTTAATGTCCGTTCCAGCGACGAGACCCACATCGCGCCCTCCTCCGTCGGCTCGACCACCCCGGCCAGCTCTCGCGCCAGCTCTCCGGCGCGCTCCGCCACCCCCAATGGATCGCGGTCCGGCTCGCGGTCCGGCTCGCCCGCCCCGGCCGCGCCCAGTGGGCCCGGCGCCGGGCGCCCTCGCGGCGCGGCCCCCGCCCCCGCGGCCTCCGCGGCCTCGCTGTCGTCCGTGTCCAGCTTCCGGCGCAGCCTCAAGCTGCTGGGGCTGCAGCCCAGGGAGCTGGGCCTCCCCGACCAGTCGCCGCCGCCGCCCACGCACAGCGCCGCCCAGCACCGCAGCAGGCAAGGCGACGCCCTCGGTTTGGGTTGCTGCTTTGCCAGCCTGGTGCAGCCTGGTGACGGACGGCGCTCCTGTTGCAGGTCGCCGGGCCCCACGTTCACCACGCGGCTGCGGTCTCGGAGCGTCTCGCTGGACGACCTGCGGGCCGCGGCGCGCCACGGGGCGCTCACCCCGGACAACAAAGGCAAAGGTACGCCCTAGGTCAGCGCTTCTCAACCTCGGCCGATGTGTAAAGCGAATTCGGTTTGCCGCTTCGCAGATGGTGACGTGTACCGCATGATCTCAAGCGCCGTGTACGAGGAGTGGTACTTCCGGAAGCAGCAGGAGCTGGCGGAGCGGAAGCGGAAGGAGCAGGAACAAGAGAGGAGGAGCGCCGAGGAGATGGAGAAGGTAGCGTGAGGCTGGCCGTCGGCCGTCCACTGAAGCGGCGAATCTCTCTGGTAACTTCGTTTCCTTTCCAATTCTCGTCTTTCCAGAGAAAGGCTGAGATGCAGAGGAAGTCGCAGGACAAGTTCCAGGAATGGCTCCGACAAAAGACGCTCCAGCTCAAGTCCAAGGCGAACGAAAAGTGAGGTGACAAGCTGACTTTGTCGTAAACGCTCTCTGCCTCTGACAGGACGTGACGGCGTCGTGACGGCGTGCATTGTGTCCTCCAGGCCGGGGCCCGGGTCGCGGCAGGCGGTGCGGGCGCTGCACGGCCACCGCGTGGTGACGCCGGAGCGCGCCGAGAAGGCCTTCCAGGAGTGGAAGCGCGCCAAGGAGGAGCAGAAGACCAAGGCCCAGGACGACGCGGGGGCGGGCCGGCCGGGGCCGGGCAAGCCGGGCAAGCCGGGCAAGCTGCCCGCGAAGCACGCTGGCGCCGGCGAGGACGCCAAGAGGGAGGACGCCGAGAAGGTGGGTCGCGTGACGCCGGCCAAGGTGCCTGGTTCGATTCCCGCTCGCGGGCTCAATCGAACCCGATTTTATTTGTTTTGTGTGCGTTTCGCAGGCTTATCAGATGTGGATAAAACGGATCGAGGAAGAGAAGAGGCGAAAGGACGAGAAGAAGAAGAAGATGGACGCCAAGAAGCAGGAGGAGAACGCGAGGAAGGAGACGGAGCGCAAGGAGCTGAACCAGAAGTCCTTCGACCGCTGGAAGACGGACAAGGAGCAGCAGCTGAAGCAGATGGAGGAGAAGGCAAGGTGAGGCCGGCAAGGCGTGCGGGGCAAGGCGTGGCGGTGCAAGGCGTGCCGGGGGAGCCTCGGAGCCGCGCGGCGAGAGACGAGTACTCCTTGAGCTTTCTTGCTTGCTTCCAGGCGCAAGCAGGACCGTCAGGAGGCCCTGGAGCTGGAGCGCCGGCAGCAGCGTCAGTACGAGGCGCAGCAGGCTTTCCTGGTGTGGCTGGACGACGTGGAGGAGCGCGAGAGCCAGAGCAGCAGCAGAAGCAACAGCAGCAGAAGCAACAGCAGCGCCAGACGGTGAGGTTCCGGCCCGCCCGACGGCACAGCTGCTCCGACTGAGACGAGACGACTGTGAGGGATCTCCGGGGAGATGATCGTCTGAAGAGGGAGAGTCGCTTTCGACGAGGAAGGGCACAAACACGTACTGCAGTTGGCCGCCGTGTTTGCGTCATTCCCCGGCGACTTGCTTCTTTTTCGTTCTGTTTTTGTTTTCCGTGTGTGTTTATGTTTTTGTTGTAAGTTTACCTCCTGTAGTGTTATTGTAAGCGATCAAGTCGCAGGCTCAATTTTACCCGTGTTTTGTAATAATTTTTGTATTGAATCGGAAATGGATTAATTAAAGGGGAAAATAAGTTGAAGATGACGAGAATGTTGGCAGAAAGTTCCACACCGCTTTATTGTAAACGAAAATGGCACGATAAATTAACAGACACAATCACCTCCGTCAGCCTTTAAAATGACAATGTACACAGTTCTTTTCTTTCCCGGAGGAACGGGGGCGACAAAGTAACGGTAACAACACACACACACAACCAGGAACAAAACAAAGTACAGTCACGTCTAAGTACATGGCAATGTGATTCACGGACTCACGGGCCACAAGCTGGAGGAGCACCTGTCTTCGTCCGGCCGGCTCGCTGCGTCATCTAAATTTCAGGTCAGCACAGTGCACAGAAAAAATTACAACACAGGAGGTACCACAGCTGTTTTCCCTAAGCACCTGGCATAGTTCCAGGAAGTCGTCAGAAATGTTTTTGATATGCATTTCAGCGAGCAGGACCCGACGCTGACAGGAAATTTCCCTCCCTCGTTTGCGCTTTGAGCTTAAGAATAAGTTTCGTAGCTTTAATAGTAATAATAGTAATAGATGATCAACAAACTAAACCTACGACGCAAGAAGAAAGGCTTGCACGATGCGGTCGGTTGCGCATCACAACAAAGTCGTTAAATGGCGTCAGACGGTATAGAGCAGCCTTCGAGTTCAGCGCCAAAGGCAACAGATTAGTAAAATCACAGACATAAAAACATAACACTGTAATAATTGGTAATGCGATAAACCTATAACAAACTCTTAGAACTATAATAAAAACGAGAGGCAGACCACAGGCGCCAACTATGCGCCTGCATAAGGGGAAAAATATACAGTCAAATTCATTCCAATATAACAGACTTTTCTCATTCTTCAGGTCAGGCCTTCTCACCTGTTATTCCTTTTCACAAACAATATGCAGTGAACGTGTTACCTGAGATAACGTTTTAACTTGTAAAGAATTTCAAAACACACAATACTTTGCAAATAAAACTTCTTTTTTATTGAAAAAAATATAAAATAACCGCTAAATGGTCAACTGAGGTAAAACAGTCACAGCACACTTCCACTGGCTTTGCTGCTACTTTCCCCCCGTTTTAAACGACCTAAGAAGCGGCAAACCGTAAGCGTCGCAAGCCTGCCATTGGCACTCATGAGGCAACCTAAAAGAAAAACAACACTTCTGGCTAAAGGTCCATACGCGGTCAGGCCGTGGAGGCTTGGTCCAAATGGATCGGGGTGCAATCAGATGAAAATTTAACAGTCATCTCACAACGGATACATTCAGTACTACGCCTATTTTTAATTTGATTAAAAATGGCAAATGAAAGATTTTGAATACCAGACAAAAACATGTCTGCAAGAAATTTGGAAAGAAAATATTTTTGTTTTTAACACTGCTTAGCTCAGATGATGATGAGGAAAGATGCCACGATGAGCATGAGGGTGAGGATAAAGTTCTGGACCAGGATCAGGGTGTGAATGAGAATTAAGATGTCTGGGTCGACGTCAGGAGTCAGGAAAGGGAACAAAAAGTTCCTCAGTTGTCTGTCGAGCGGAGAGTAGTGCTCATCTCTCCCGCGGGGGGTGTTGGGAAACGGGTACCCGAGGAGCAAGCCCATGTACGGGTCGCTCATTTCGAAATCGCTCAAATCACCGAATTCATCGAACAGTAATTCGGCGTAGTTGTCGGGCTCGATGGGGATCGCGTTCGGCAGACTCGGGTCGCTAAAGTGGGAATGGAGGCTGCGCCTCGCCAGCCCCGCGTCCACGAGCAACCCGTTGATATCCGCGCCTCCGGAGCGGCTCGTATTCGCGCTCAGGGCCCTCAAGGGACCGACGGCGGCATCCTCATCGACCAGCGGGTCGACAGGCGGGGGTGCAGGCCTGGGCGGAATGGGCCTGACGGGCCTGTCGCGGCCTCTGCTGGTGCTCGTGCCGGACGCCGTGCTCGCCGGTCTGCGCACCGCGCCCGTCTGGCGCACGACCGCCTCGCCCACACTGGCGGGATTCAGGACAGCACCCACCGGGCCCACCGCGTCCACCTCGTCCACTTCGTTCACCGCGTCCACTTCGTTCACCGCCTCCACCACGTTCACCGCCTCCACCACCCTCACCGCCTCCACCACATTCACCGCCCCCACCGCGCCCACAGCGCCCACAGCGTCCACCGCGTCGAGAGCAAGGCTGTCGACTTTCGAGTCTGCGTTCACGTGTTTCCGGCGTCGGCGCATCTTGCGACCCTTCCGACCGCGGCCAGGACGCCCTTGGCCAGCCCTTGGTTCAGCCTTCGGGGCATTCAGGTTGGCCATGGACTCAGCCTTTTCCCTTTCGGGTCCGATCTCCGGCTCAACTTGCCGATCTGTGGTTGGTGCCATTGACGCCGTTGGCAGGTCCAGTGGCTCCGCCATGGCCTCCGCCATGGCTTCCGCCCCTGCCTCCGCCTCTGGCTCCACATTTGGCTCCACATTTGGCTCCACATTTGGCTCCACATTTGGCTCCACATTTGGCTCCACATTTGGCTCCACCTCTGGCTCCACCTCTGGCTTCACCTCTGGCTGTGCCGGTTGTGCCCTCGGCCTTCGCCCTGCGCCAGGGCCGCGGCCGGGGCGGCGCCATCACGCCACCTCCAGCTTCTCGAAGTCCGTGTCGTCCAGCGTGTGCAGCCAGTTGAAGATCATCATGTTGCGGTCGTAGCGCGACAAGGGCCGCCCCTGGGACCGCTCCACGTCGCGCACCGTCAGCGGGAAGGTGCGCAGGCCCGGGTGCGCGGCATGGGGCGCGCTCGCGTCGCGCTGCTTGACGACACGCATCACGGTGGAGGTGGGCGACAGCGTGCCGCTCAGGCGGGCGGGCGGCGGCCCTCCGGGTACCGTGAGCAGCGTGGACGTGGCGGCGGGCCCGGCCGCCCCCGCGGCTTGGCTGCCCGAAACGCTGCCGCCGCGCGACGACGCCACGCCGCCAGCGCTGCTCGGCGGCCCCATGCCCGGGATGGGAGACGACGCGGCCGCCGAGCTGGCCGACGCCGCGGCCTCCAGCCGGTCCAGGTTGAACTCGCTCTGCGACAGCCGCTCTAGCGCCTTGTAAGTCATGAGCAAGCGCCGGCGGATGTAGTTCTGGCGGACCTGGAAAAAGCGAACTGTCACGTCACCGCCCTCAGCCCACTCCCAGAACCCAGGCGCCGCGTCGTACAGTCGTACACTCACCTTCTTGTTGACGGAGCGGATGAGGTCGGCCGGCGTGAAGGACGGCGTGGCGGGGACGTTGGCGGGCGCGGCGAGCGTGGGGGCGGCCGGGGGCGCGAGGCTGTGGCCGCCGTGGGGCGAGGGCAGCTGCGAGTTGGAGACGAGGTCGCCGACGGCCACCCAGGTGGAGCAGGACCGCGACGTGCGGTTCAGCTGGTGCTGGTCCATGAGGAAGCCGAGCCGCTGCAGCGAGTTGAGGGCGGGCTCGGACACGCTGGGCCGAGCGCTCATGGGCGGGGACTCGCCGTCGCCGGCCCCCTGCGCCGCGCTCGTGCCGCCCGCCTGCGAGCTGGAGCCCAAGCCCAGCACCATGGCGTCGGCCTGCGCCGTCTGCTCCGGCAGCTGGGCGATGTCGCTCGTGCTGAAGGAGCGCTGCAGGCCCAGCGCGGACGACAGCGCGGCGCAGCTCCGGATCAGTTCGTTCTCCTCCTCGAACCACAGCAGCTCGGGGATGTCTGGAGGGCTGCGGACAAGCGGGAGGCAGGCGGTCAAGAAATGGAGACGGAGAGTCACACGAAGATCGCGCGAGGCCCCTGCCGACCGCAGGATAGGCAGCACCAGCGCGCGGGAGTGCAGCGGGTGGCCTACCGCGCCGTCGGCGGGCGCTTGCAGGAGCGTACACACATCTCTCACTCTCAAACTCACAGGCAGAGGCAGGGGACAAGCGTCTCGAAACTTTCCGCGGTTTGCATAGCCTGCAGCCATCCGTCCAACTTCCTAAAACCGCATTCGTCGGTTAGAGGACAAACAGCCATGCCTCGCCGAGTATGACGCGCGAGGCCGCTTCCCCCCTCCCCTCCCTCTCTCGGCTCCAGACAAATCGGACGTCGGGGCGTTATTCACCCCCACCCCTCCGCGGTGCCACCCTTGAGCCTTGAAAGTCAGAGGTCACGATGGGCTGGATGGGCCGGATGGACGGCACGTGGGACGTGGGACGAGCGCCAGGGCGACGCCTGGGTCTCTATCCCTTCCGTGGCGCCGGGTCCCAGGCGCGTCTTTTCGACGCGACGTTCCCCGCTGCCGTCACCTGACACTTCCCCGCCGTCAGGCCCTTTTAAAGAAATGAGGTGAAAGGGATCACAAGTTTCGGCGTCCATGTGCAACACTGAAGCTCGCGTTCCGGCGTTTGCCGGGCATTGCGCTGCGCAGCATGGCGAAGGCGGGTATGGCGGGCGTGCTGCGTGCTGCGTGCGCCTCGGCGTGCGCCGCCATCCCTTATCGACCCGTGCCTCAAGCCTGAACCTCCACAGCCGCGCAGCGCTGCGCAGCGCCGGGCTGCACCGCACCCCTCCCCCACCCCACCCCGCACGCACCGGACCCCAAATAAACAAGTGCACGTTTCTGACACACCGCCTTGCTCGCCGAGCTGGTATGGCCTGCATGGCGAGCATGGGCATGTGCGCGGCCCGCGTCCAGCCCGACCGGAGCGGACGGCCGTCGGCGCGGAGCCTGGCAACAAGGACCACAAGGACGGCGCGGGGGTAAAGGATGACCCACTGCGTTGGCACCGCGTGCTCGCGCAATGGCGACTGGACTGTTGCCCGGAAGGCTGCGGCATTCTGCGGACGGGTAGGGTAGCCCTGCACCTCTACTGCAGGCCCTGCCTAGCCCTAGGACTTTCGGCGGGGTCCCGAGGGTCAGGGCCGCGGCCGCCGCGATGGGACACGCATAGGACGGGGCACGCGAGCTAACGCGAGTGCGAGGGACTACCGCCCCCGTCCGACCCGGGCACCCTGCCCGAAGTCGAACACGAACGTTGCCACGCTGGTCGCCTCAGGCCCGACTGGCCATCTTGTCGTACGCGGTGTGCGGTGCCGAGAGGCGCATCAATGTCAAATCACTGCACTCACCGGGCGATGGAGACCTGGCTGGTGCTGTCCGGGTTGGGCGAGACTCCGCGCGCGTGCTTGTTGAAGCCCACCAGCCTAAGCCCCCTCATGTCGGCGGCCAGCGACATGGAGGACACGGAGAGCAGGGATAGGTCCGTGGTGACGGACTCGTGGGAGGGCGAGCGCAGCATGCGGCAGGACACGGACAGCACCGGAGTCTGCGGCGGCGCCGCGCCCCCGGACCCGGAACCCCCGGGCGGCCCCGGAAGCGCCTCCGAGCTGGCGGCCGCGCCACCGCCACCGGGCGGCAGGGAGGACGTCATTCCGGCGTCAGCGGCGACCTCCTCAGGACCCCGACGACGACCCTGCGGTCACCCCGGCCATGTCGGCGGAGACAAACGTGCGCAGGCGAACCGCGAACCGCGGGCGAGCGAGGGATGCTCGGGGCGCTGTGGCTGCTCGGCCCTGCCAGGCCCTGCCCTGCCTGAGCAATGGCTGCCTCGCCTCGCCTCGCCTCGCCGCGGACGTGGAGCACCGCGGAGCCACACGGCGCTGCTGCAGCCCGCCGCCCGCGCCCGCCGCGCCGATCGATCCGGACAGTGCCGTCTTTGTCGCTCCCGCACGCCAGGGACGCCAGCCCAAGCCGCCGCGGACACTCCGGATCAAGCCGTCTCTCTCGCTCCCGCACGCCAGCCCCAGGCCCGCGGGCCCCCGCCGCGCCGGTGGGTGGGGTCGCTACAGCCTTCGGCACACACGACGACCCGTTCAGGAGCACCCCGACTCGAGGCCCGGCCGCTCGGCTCGGGCAAGTTCGGGACGTGGCGATCCAGGCCGGTCAACTCTCGGGCCGCAGAACAAGCCGATATACGGCGCACGTCGGCCCAACGTCTCCTACCAGTGCAACAATTTCAAGAACAGGGAAAAGACAAAAAGTACAATAAATGAGATTTAAATTTATTGATGGTTAAGTGATGACATACATTTTTCAATCATAACAATAACTGTAACAAAATAGGAAACGAAGGTGACTGCAGACTCCTCAGGAAACAAAATACATGACACTATACTCTACGGTAACATACTAATAAAGTTCAGTTAATGACTAATGAACAGTTCAAGGACAGCTTTGTACAACAAAATTGGACTGCTCTAACACGACGAGTAAGCAAATAAGACAGCACAAGATAAACAATTTTTTAACATGTAACTTTTGAAAAATAGACTGTTTAGTATGTACAATAAAAATGAGCATTTAATGATTTGCTTACTTGAACTTCTCATACACAAAAAATTATGAGAAGCAGTAGTTGTGCACAAAGCAGTTGGTTAATTACTGAGTACGAGATCACTGCCCTACAAACTGCTGGCATTATCACCCACTGTGCAACATAAAATTTGAAATTACTCACTTCAACCTCCATGCTCACACACACTCACTCACAGATTCTTACAGAAAAATGCATAAACTAATGGAACTAGGCACACAGCAGGACAGTAAACTAATTACATACTCTGACGACAAGAGTGGCCTAATCAACATTGCATGGGGGAATTTAGAGAAGTTCGCCAAAAAGAATAATTTATGCCTTTAAAACATGGGCATGCAGAGATTTGTTATCAAGCATAGGTGCTTAGCACATACTCGAGTACAATTAACCCACTCTACATTACACAGCTGCTTCTGATCTCATTCTGATGGAAACACTCCAACAGCTTGAGCTGAATACATTCACGTACAGGCAATATCACTATAAATGTCACATGTGCAGGTCGAAAGAATTGATTCAGTTCTACTTTTGACTTTGACACAAAAGACATTTGATAAAATGATCCTAATTTCACTGTAAGTCCTTAGTTCTTGTTTTCCTTCTTCTCCTTGTCTTCCTTATTTTCTGTGCTGTCTGAAGAAGAGCTGTCTGAGCTCTCACTCTTAGCACCACCTTCTCTCTCAGCAGCCATCTAGAAGGAAAAATTTAGTGAGCAACACATAGAAAAGACATGCATGAAGGAAAATTGAGATCAGTAACATGAAACTTTACCTTCTTGTAAGCCATTTCGAAGAGCTTAAGGGATGACTGTTGCAGGTTTCCAGTGGCTTTGCGGATTTCTTCAGGGTCAGAATCATCCTTCTTGGCCAGGAGCTCGCGTACACTTGCCATTTGTTCCCTAAGTTTATCACACTAGAAAAATAAAAAAAAAGATGTAAAAACTGAATATTTTGAAGTTTCTAAAACTTAAATTAAGCAGATTCAAATAAAAAAATACCTCTTCACCAGGCAGTTGGTCTTTGAACTCATCCATCTTGGATTCAGTGTCATGAATAATACCCTCTGCTTGATTGACAGCTTCAACACGATCCTTCTTGACCTTGTCTTGAGCAGCGTACTGCTCAGCATTGCGAACCATGTTTTCGATCTCATCCTTGCTCAGACCGCCAGATGACTGAATCACAACTGAAACCAGAGAATGAATATTAAACATATGTTATGATGAAAAAGCAGTTTTTCACACAAGGTGAAAAAACCTTCTTGGATGTTTCTTTTCACAACTTTACATCAGAGAAGCTAATAATAGCAATTTGCACAAGATCTAAAATAACTTAAGCCATGATAGCAGGGTCTATAATGGGAAGAAACCAGCTTCAATCAGAGTGTGTTTATCCACACAACATTTAAGAGACGAAAGATAGAAATTCATCATTGAAGCAGACTGGAGCAAGTTCTAAAAAATTTAAAATGATGTGCTACATTACTAGCAGAAGAAATGAGCTTCAATCAGACTTTGATTTTCCACACAACATTTAAGCGACGAAAGATTATAAATCATCATGGAAGCAAATGGTAGACTGCTTAAAATGACTTCGGCCGTGAGGGCAAGATCTTACAATACTAGAAGGAAACCAGCTTCAATCAGAATGTGTTTTTCCACACAACATTTAAGAGACGAAAGATAGAAATTCATCATAGAAGCACACTAGAGCATATTACACAAAATTAAAAATGACGTGCTTCATTACTATCATAAGAAATGAGCTTCAATCAGAATTTGATTTTCCACACAACATTTAAGCGACGAAAGATATAAAAATCATCATAGAAGCTCACTACACCATATAGGACAAAATTAAAAATGATAAACTTCAATACTATGAAAAAACGCTATAGCAAAGCCTATAGAAAGAATTTACAGCTGGAAGTTATCTTTACTCACTTTGCTGCTCCTTGCCAGTGCCCTTGTCACGAGCTGAGACATGGACAATGCCGTTGGCATCTATGTCAAAAGTTACTTCAATTTGAGGAACACCACGTGGAGCAGGGGGGATTCCCACAAGGGTGAACTGGCCAAGCAACTTGTTATCTGAAGCCATTTCTCGCTCACCCTGGTGGACTTTAATTTCCACCTGAGTCTGTCCATCAGCAGCAGTGGAGAAGACCTAAGAAACAAGAAAACTCTTTGATAAAAACCCAATGTTTTTATTTGAAGTTTCGGCGCAAATTTTAATTCAAGCTTTGTTACCTGGCTCTTCTTGGTAGGAATAGTGGTATTCCTGGAAATGAGACGGGTGAATACACCACCAAGAGTTTCAATTCCAAGAGACAAGGGTGTAACATCCAGCAGAAGAACATCAGTAACATCTCCTGCCAGAACACCACCCTGTACAGCTGCTCCCACAGCAACGGCTTCATCAGGGTTCACAGATCTGCTGGGCTGTCGGCCAAAGATTTCCTGGACAGTCTGTTGAACCTGCAAAGACAATAAAATTTTTGTGAGCTTGACAAAGGCTGCCAGGGGTATGCACATTTTCAAAAGAGGCGGGGAAACATACCTTTGGCATTCGGCTCATGCCTCCAACTAAAAGCACCTCACCAATGTCAGACTTGGTCACTTCACCATCTTGAAGAGCTTTCTTGCAGGGTTCAACTGTCTTCTTGATGAGTCCGTCAACCAGGGTTTCAAACTTAGAACGGCTCAACTTCAGATTCATGTGTTTCGGTCCAGATGCATCCATGGTCAGGTATGGCAGGTTAATATCTGTCTGAAGTGATGATGAAAGTTCGCACTTGGCTTTCTCAGCTGCCTCCTTAAGCCGTTGCATAGCCATTGGATCTTTTGTGATGTCAATTCCTTGCTGTAATAGGAACATGTGAACAGGTAAGATAACAATTTGTTTGCTTCACATTCCTAATGCCGCAAAGAGCAATATAATGTACCTCCTTCTTGAATTCAGAAACAAGGAAGTTCACAAGAGTATTGTCAAAGTCCTCTCCACCCAGGAAGGTGTCACCATTGGTAGATTTCACTTCAAACACTCCCTTTTGAATTTCCAAGATGGATATATCAAAGGTACCTCCACCAAGGTCATAAACAGCAATCCTACAGAACACAAATAAATACATGCAGACAATGTATACAGGTAAAATGAGCTAAGATAAACATGTGAGGGCTATTACTACAGCTTACACTTTGTCTTCAGTCTTGTCCATGCCATAAGCCAATGCAGCAGCTGTGGGTTCGTTGATAACACGCAAAACGTTAAGTCCTGAAATCTGGCCAGCGTCTTTGGTAGCCTACAAGTGAAAAGGTTTGTTAAGGTTCTGGTTCCTCCAAAGACCCGCCCAAAATAAAAACAAAAGGGAAGAGTAATAACATGGTACCTGTCTCTGGGAGTCATTAAAGTAAGCTGGAACAGTAACAACTGCATTTTTGACGGTTGTGTTCAGATAGCTCTCTGCAGTCTCCTTCATTTTCACCAATGTAAAAGCTCCAATCTGGCTAGGTGAGTACATCTTGCCGTCAGTTGCCTGCACCCAAGCATCACCATTTGATGCTTTCACAATCTTGTATGAGACAGTTTTCCTAAACAATTGGATGAAATGTTATGATAGGTATATCACAAAATTAAATGGGACAGTCTCTGAGGACCATAAAATACTTGCATGTCTTTTTTAACTTCAGCATCATCGAATCTTCTTCCAATTAGACGTTTTGTGGCGTAGAAAGTATTTGCTGAATTGGTGACAGCCTGACGTTTAGCTGGCATACCTACAAGACGCTCTCCATCTGCCACAGACAAATTTTAATGTTGGTTGGATCTTAATAGCAAGATGGTAACAGGAACAGGCTTTGTGTGTTACCTTTGGTAAATGCCACTACGGATGGAGTGGTCCTGGCTCCCTCTGCGTTTTCAATAACCTTGGCCTGCTTGCCTTCCATGACAGCAACACAAGAATTTGTTGTGCCAAGGTCAATACCGATGACAGCCCCCTTAACACCCTCAGACCTAGGACAATTATAGATAAAAACATGAAAGAATCAGCTTTTAGAGATAATTGAAAAAGCATTCCAACTGTGTAATCAACATACTTGTTTCTTTGCTGGACTCCATTTTGGGCAATAACAGGCGTTTGCTGAAACCGAAATAAAATTGAGCAACCATTAATCCTGAAGAGTTAGATTGGAAATTAAAATTCATTAAAGATCAATAAATAAATGAACTTGTACAATTTCTAAAAAGTTTGAATATGAGTTAATCACACAAAGAGAGAACCAATGAAGACCAGAATTCAAAATGAGCGTGGTCAGATGCAAGGAAGAAAGAGGTTCAAAAGAGATGATAGAAACATGTGCATAGAAACGAATGTTCCAGAAAAAGGCGAGAGCCGAGCTTTGCCCTGTCCTTAACCTTGCCAGAAATGAACAAAAACCAGAACGAGAGAAAAAGCCGAAGACATGCTAGAGGGCGACAGACGTTCCGCGAACGAGGACGTTGTTTTTCTATTCATCAGGTACAGACACAAAAAGGCTGACGAAAGACTTGGAGACCAAAACCGAGATCATATAACCGGCATCACTTGGCCAAACCTTTTCAACGCAGACAGCTAAAGGTAGCCAAACTTTACTTGAAGCATAGATCAAAATAAGAATACGGGCCCAACAATAAACGACCCAGACCAAAAATTTTGACGCAAGTTACAAAATTTGTTGCAATGATCATGAAACTGTACTTCCCATGAAACGTGCTTCGAAGGGTTACGCACCTTTTTCAATAAAACGCTGAAATGCCTCTGTCCGGAAACGTCTGAAGTGACATTGGTGAAATTGCGGCGAACCAAGCGTCCGACGAACATTTTGAATTTGTAGAGAAAGTTAACGAAAAACTAGAGAAAGAGGCCCAAGAGGGTGATGCAACGGCAAACGCGCTTCGGGAACTGCAGACGAAGAAGAGAAGAACGCATGGGAGGCAGCATGGGTCGGTCCGTGGGGAGAGGGAGAAGAAATGGAAAAGAAGAAAACAGGAAGGTCACGCACGAGCACGAGACTCCAAGGTCCGAAATGGCTGACGGGTAATTTCCCAGCGCGCGCAGTTCAAACAGAGAGAAATGGAACCCGTTCGGCAGTCGCAGATTACCACTGTCCATCGAATGTCACCAAATATTTGAGGGCAATAGGAATCCCATGATGTGGAAACCCCGCCATCAGTTCTCTTCTGTCGAACTAGGGTCTCAATAATTCTGACACTAAATTTTATCGTAACATGCCCAGTGGGATTTGGAATGTTGTAGCGGTGGCGGGTCGGGAGAGACGTTACGCCGTGGCTTGGTCAGGGAATGGAAATGTCATTATAAATGAAAGAGAGGAGTCCAAGTTCCGTTCAAGGATAAATAAACATTTATTTTTTTCTCATTTTCTGGGTGATGAATAACTCACTGCAAGGGTAACACATTCCTGTCCACTTTCACATGAGTGCAAAGTACACTTGTGATGATCCGGAAAGTCCATTTACAAAATGTGTTGAAGTGGCCAACTATATTTTTAAATTAAATATTTGTACACATAAACTGTCTCAAAACTTCCAATATATACACATGTTTCGGCCACAGGTCCAAAAAAATGAAAATTGATTTTATAAAAATTTACATTTACAAGCTTCAAGGTGAAAACACTCTTGAAGAAAATTACAAATCAACAAAGAACATTTGTTAGAAGTTCCTTTCATACATCAAACTATCAGGACAATTGAAAAAAAATCAATTTAACATAGGCATTATATGAAGTAGCAATAGAAAGCTTTTCACTGTCAGCAACAAAACTGAGATGCAAGATGTCCCAGAGAAAAAGTTTGGTTGCTCAAGAGAGCAAATGAGCAAGTTTTCCCCCATTAGGAAAAACTTCAATCAGGGCAATGACTGTACGCAAGCTTTGTCATTTAGTCAGTAAACACCAGCAATTGACAGTCTTAAAGATATACTTTCCAGAGGGGGCAAAACTGAGCCAGGAAATAGAAATGTATACCAATGTACGCCCTTTTAAAGTGGTAAACTCTGAATGTCCTCAACAGTTGACATTCTAGTTTTTTTTTTTTATTCTCTCAAACCAGTAAATATTGCACTCTTGTGAAAGAGCCCTTAGCAGCTTGCAAACTGCTTGATATCATGTTGACATGATACTGCTACACGAACTTGCATACAGGCAGACAAACAGACCATGTCTTATGAGACTAATGTCGTCACCTTACTAAAACAATACCACCAGGGTATAGTAATTCCACATATTAGGCAAACATTTGCTTCCAACAAGGGAATAAGTACAAACTTAGAAATGTACTACATCTGAAATAACCTCATTTCTCAAACGGAGGAAGGGTCAAGGAGCAGTGGAATGAAACATTAACAGAAGAACACTCAAGATTGAAATGAACCCAAATACTTAACAATTGAGGGCAACATTTTTCAGAAACTTTTTGATTACTATACTTGATAATAAATTGCAAGAAATAATTTGTCATCAAACTGCTCCACTGACAGCCCATTAATAACGGAAGCAAGCTGTACTACCGTCACCCACAAGGGCACAATGTGCTTAAGATGCGGAGAAAACAAAGTAATTTAAACATACTTGGGAATGTTACGATTAGTAAAGATTATTGATGAAATCACAATTCAATAAATAAGGTAAAATAAAATAAAAGGACCCTCAGTCCATATTTCAGGTGTGTGTAGGTGTGAAAATAACACGCACCCTACTTCCTTATGGCGCCGTGCATGTGTGCTTTCTTCGGCAGTACATTTTTCTTAAGGTAATATAATAATTATATTAATAATTACAATAATAAAATAATTTACAACTCATAAGAAGAGAAGATCTAAGTAAAGCAACACTAACACATTGGCCACTATTTTAGAGTGGTAACTTGTGTATATAATACACAATAAAATGCACATAATACAAATGAGACTCCAATTAAAATATTGAGAATATTATACATGTACATCAAATATTTACTAATCGTAAGCTTCCCTCAAACAATTCATAGTATGGAACAATATACTTTTAACATATGGACAATCACTAATACCAGTATCTAAACTGCATTAACTATGAGAAATTGTACCCATGTTACTGAAGAAAATTTGGAAACAAAAATTTGGAATAACTGCTGTTCAGTTCCACAGCACTTTTAACTGTGCACATTGTCTAATTATTTTAAAAACTGAAACATCTATGTAAATAAGTTAAAACCATTACACAATCATCAAAATTTTCCCACAGATTCAATTTTGATTTGCTGTTCAGCACTATTACCACATTTACACTAGCTTCCAGAATTTTAGTACCATGAAACAGGAGGAATCTTTCTTCCTAGCCTCAGAGGTACAAGGGGGGGAAAGATTCACATTGCTTCAATTTAAGTAGACTTGCAAATGGGTATAATGATATGGGCTTTGATAATACCTCTTACTCAGCTTTTACAAGGTAGGAACAGCTGAGGAAGAAATGGGAGAAAAAAATAAATATATTGAGCAGGGAAAGTCTACAGACTTCATTAAGTTTTGCAGCCTGCATCAGTCCTCCCAGTTCCTGTACGTTCTACCACTCAACAAGAAAACAATGCCAATACTGACTTACATCTTACAGGATACATTTAAAGAAGGATTTCAAGAATTAGTTCATGTACAGAATTATATTGGAATGAATGAACGCATCTGAAGGTAAGCAAACGCAGACCAGGTAACAAGTGCAGGCAATAATCTGACAAATTAATTTGAGTACCATGAACACATCGTTGAAAAGAATTCTTTGCAAATAAGTCCACCAGTGGACAGAGCTACTCGTGTTTTCTACTTTTGACACTATTGCTCAAGGGTGTAAGTAAACTATCTGTAATCATGGAATGCTAGCAGCGTCATAGTACCATGAAGTACGAGTAGCAGAAAGAAACATTTCAATTGCATTCAAGTAATAAATCAAGAAAGAAACAATTTCTTTAAGCAAGTTGCATACCCACTAGTGATAGACATTGGTGCAGAAGGTGTTGGAATGTAAAATAAGTAACACAACTTTCAGCAAACTAGTGAATGGCAGGTTGCTTGGTGGCTAATAAACAATTTATTCACCTTTCAAATTCTTTCCCATGATGCAGGAAATGATTCAAGAGGGGAATAAAAAAAGGGGGAGGGAAACCTCCAACATAATTCTGAAAATTCCATGAAAAATCCTTCAATTTTAAAAATCACAGCTTAACAAGAGATATTGTTGGGTGCACAAACACACCAACATCCTTGCTTATATTCTTGCATGACGCAATGAGGTGCGATTTTAACATGAGTAAGTTTGTCTGAGGTCCCCTGAACATAGATAGCGACATGAGTTTGTACTGAACATAATTAACTTCTGAGAAAAAAAATATATGCATACATATATGTATATATAATTTACATATATATATATGTATATATAAAATCGAGATTCACTAGAGGGAAGTTGCTTTATATCACTGGCTAACAGCAGGAGATTTTTTGTCCGAGTCCTGACTGGAGGGTGTATTTCCCTGTGGTGGGGGACCTCTATCCCCACCAGGGCCTCCAACTCCCACAGGCCCTCCACCGCCCCATGAATTGGGACCCCCAGCCATTGAGGAGTCTGAAAATCCATGGTTATCATGATCCATGGAATTGGCTGCATCATACTGAGTGTTTTCCAGTCGTGTTATTAATCTTTCGTCTTCATCACCAAACTCTCCACCCATTAATGACGGTTCGCCAACTACCATAACATCCTGAAAGACAAGGGGAAAAGGAATTAGAAATGGATTTTACAGTATTGTTTTTCTAAACACCACTTGGTGTTAAAGTACTAACCTGAGAAGCTAAGGAGAAGTTGGGACCAGGAGATCGCTTTTTATTTGGTGCAGGAGGTGCATTGTTGGCTACTCCTCCTGATGTTGAACCTTTCCTTTTCCGTCTCTTGTTAGCTGGCCTTTGTGATTCTAAAAAAGAAAACAAAGTCAATTTTATTAATGACATGTTCCAATCAAAATAAAATCAGGACAGAAAAGGAAATCTTTGCAAGTATGAAATTCATTATCAAGTTATTTTAACAAAAGCAGCTCGGTTAGTAAAAGTACCAGAAAGCATTCACAAATGCAACACCTCTTCCTCACATGCTCATCAGATTATTATTATTAAATTACTAAACTGTGACAATGATTTTACCAGTTCAAGGAAATTGTTTTTGAACAATTGTTTTAAAATAATTGAGTGTTTAATTTTACATGCAGTACCACAGCAGCACCAAATACCAATGATGCATGAGACAGGATGAGAGCAAGTGAGTGGGCAATGCATTTGGTCTACCTCTCTTACCCGGCGGGGCAACCATCCTCTGCCATTTCTGGAAAAGTGTAGTCTTCAAACAATCTCTGGGTGTAAGAGCGTATGCTTTGTGTCTCGACATAAGTTCTTGCATTGGCTCGAGAATAACACATAGCTAAGAGTTAACAAAAAGAAAATAGTCAGAGAATAAAGTTATTCAGCCCATACACAACAAAAGTAACCACAAAGTCATTATAATAAACTCACCCTCAGATAATTTAAGGTGGAATTTGTGATTCCTTGTCTTGTGATGTTTTTGGAAATTGATTCAAGCATGTTTGGGTCCTGACTTGAATGCATACCGACAACAGTCCGAGGAACTAATTCACGATGACTTCTGACAGCTAAATGCCATGACTTTATACGCATAAGGTCATCAAAGGTAAATTCCAAGATCAGCCTTCCTTCTGTGCAAACCTGATAGAATGAGATAAAAAATTTAAGTGCCTGCTGCAATGTAATCTTAACAAAAGGGTAAAATATTTATCAGTATATTATTTAACTACTTACCCTAGTGAACATTGGTTTTCCATGAAGTGTTACCATAGTGCATTGTTCACAGTCCAAAGTAATACTTGTATTGTGGAACGATTCTTTAGGATTTTTCAGATTATAATACAATTCTGTTACACCTCCCTCAAAGATTGTTCGAAAGTACCTAGGAATTAATGTTCTTCCTATCGCTGTGTAACAAAAACAAAGTTAGAAGATTACGATAAGAAGGTTGTATGAATCAAGAGTTTACATGCCATATTATAAGTTCTTACTGTATCGTTTCGGTCCATCTTCTAAACAAAAAGTTAGTGTTAAGGTTGCATCATCTTCAAAAAATTCTGTAGCAAAGGCATCCCACCACAGGTTGTCACTTTCCTGTAACAATATAGTGAAAAGTGTGTGAAATTAGAGACACACAGTGCAAATTAGAACCACCTGCAGTACTACTATAATGTAGGGTGACAAAAATGACTCACCTCTGTCCTTTGTTGTAACCGTTTGTTAAGCTCAAATATACGGTAGTCTGGCTGGCCAAAACATGAGGTGTGGCGCCTAGGAACAGGTAAAGACCTGAAAGAAGAGAAATAAAATTTAATATGATGAACAAATGTCATGCAAAACATTGCTTGGAACTGTCATGCCATTCGGTAAATAAACACGGCAAACTAAAGCTTCATTTCTTTCTATTGTTCAGTGTTCTCATTTATTTTTTTATTTAACCAAATTTGGGATATGAGTAAACTAAGTAGTAGCAGGCTGACCCTAACTCGTGTGTTGTCTGGCTCAAGGCACTCGTCTAGGCATTACCCGCCCCTGCCACCCTTCGGCCCGCAGAGCCCCTCCGGTTCGCCCCCCACCCCCCTCGCGGGGCCCCATCTGATGTACATCGGGTGGCTCCACAAAGTCACATCACACCGGGCTGACCCGAGGCCTGGAGCAGCCCCATAGTGCATCTCTTACCGACTCGTACCGACTCTGTTCGGCTAAGCTAAAGGCACCTCTTTAGCCGTACGTAGGTTCAATCCTGCCGAGTCGGTAGAGTCGGGAAAGAGATACGCAATCGTGCTCCTGGCCCGGCGGCCTGGCGCGGGCTCGGGCCCTGACGCTGCCCTGCGCGGCTCTGCGCACGGCGTCGATCAATGCAAGGGGGCCCCTCGGGGGGCTCCATGCCGGCCGGCTGGCCGGCCCGTGGGGCCTGTGGCCCGGGTGGGGTCTGGGGGCGACGGAGGCCCCGCCGACGCCACACACTCAGGACACACAACGCGTGCGTGAGCATCACGCACCAAAGCGGGCATGCAAAAGGAGGGGGGGGGGTGCTACAGCCGGAAAGGGAGTAGGTAGAGTGGAGTAGGATAGGGAGTAGTAGGTAGGAAGTTGAGGGGAGGGGGAGAGGAGTAGGAATCAGAGGAAAGGCAAGAGGAATAGGAGGCGGGTAGAATGGAGTACGAACGGGGGAAGGGAGAAGAGTGAAGTGTACCTCCGCGGACCTATTCCCTCTCCCCTCTCCTTGTTTTTCTTCCGGGCTTCCCTTCCTCCTTTTTCCTTTTTCTCGCTCGCCGTCCGCACTTGGCTGTGCTACGACGCGCCACGCCGCCAGGAGAGGACGGTTACGCCCCCCCCCCCCCCCATTTCAAGTGCTCCACACCGCCCCGCCACGGCACTGTTGGTTCTGCCCCTGCCGAGCCCGCGCGGCATACCGAAGCTGCCCTCGAAAAAATGAAGAAACCCAAGAGAGTGATTTTGGGCCCGTTCGAGCCGTGCGCTATCCAGGATATAACGTCCACGTGACGTGTGCTTGATTCAAAGTTGTGAACGGCACGCTGCGCGCGCGGGCCGCGGGGCCGTAGTGCTGCCCAGGCTGCCACAGGCCACCACAGACACGTCGCCGGACGAGGGCGTGCAGCCCAGGCACTCCGCTGGAGCTACTTACTGCCTAGGCCACTAATGCAGCGCATGCATCCTCTCGATGGTACAAAAAGGGTAACAAGTTGGAGAGCACAGCCACCTTCAGCGTGTGCGCGGTGAAGTGGGCGGGCGGGCTGCCTCGGGGAGTGGCGGGGCATGGAGGGGCGGGGCGGGGATAGGGGCATTGACGCCAGAGTCCAAAGTTGACGCGAGTTGACGTTGTGGGACTCTCATAGAGTGGCAGGCAATGCAGGATGCAGCCCTGGCGTACAGTGCGGCTGCGGCGGGAGGAAGTCAAGGAAGTGCATCCGACGACGGGGACGTGACGGGGACGCCCAGGCCCGCGACGTGGCCGCCGTGTCCGGCATGCAAATCCACGCCGCCACCAGATCGCCACCAGATTTTCTCGGCCAACAATATCGATCAGGCCGCGCAGGGCCGCGCCGCCACCAGCAGCCCTGCCTGCCGACTGCCACCGCCGCCAGCTCCGAGAGGAGTGCTGCGCTGACGGGGAGTGCGCAAGCAGCGCAAGCGCCAGCCAGCCGAGGGAGCTGTGCCGCTCTGCCACCGCTGTGCCGCTGCCGGCGAGCCGTGCGACCAGACCAGACCACCCTTCGGCTGTCAAAACACATCGGCCGCGGCGCGAGAAACGCCACGGCGTGTAAACGGGTAATGCAAAGCCCTGCCCGGCCGGTCGACAGTCCGCACCCACGGCGGCGTTGACAGGCGCGGACAGGCGTTGACGGGCCGGCCGGCCTCTGGGCCCCGCCGCCCGCCGCGCGCAGCCCGCCGCAGCCACGCTCCAGCGCCCTCGGGGCCCCTGCGGCCTGGCGGGCCCCCTCTTGCGGGGCAAGGCGCAAGGCGGGCATCGCGGGCCCCGCGACGCGGCGCAGGCATGGCCGGCACGGCGCAGGTGGGGGCCGTGGTCGCGGCTGTCAATGTCTTGCCCGGCTTGCGCGCTTGCGCCTCGGCGGCGTTGCCATGTCAGGGAAAACGCGACCGCGGTCGCGACTTTGACATTCGCGAGGTGCATCTGCATACTACAGGACCCTGTTGCGTTTTCGGCCACTTTTCAGGCCGCAGGTTGTCCGCGTCGTCATGGCCGCCTCAGTGGCAGACGCCGCGGCCTCTGGACCACGGCGTCGGCGGTGAGGCGGCAGCAAGCGAGCGAGAAATGGGCACCGCACCGCGAGCCTTTCGACGCCCAAGTCAAACACATCGAACTCTCCAGGCGTTACGCCCGTCCGGGCCGTCCGGCGGAGGAGGGGAGGGGAGGGGAGGGCTGCTGGGAGAGTATTGTGCCGGAGCGGAGCAGCGCGGAGAGCGGGGCGGTCCTCCCGGTCCTCCCCCTCCCCGGGGCGTCGTGGCGGTCGCGGCGTGGAGCGCGGAGCCGAGCGCGGCAGCGCGGCGTGGCGGAGGGTGGTGTCCGAATGGCGCGAACGCTGCCGCTGCTGCCGCTGCCCCACTCCGCTCCACTCCCCGCGTGAAAAGCCGGCCGGCGTCGACTCCCCCCACCCACTAGTGCCCGTCGCGTACAGTCGGAACCAAAGCACCGCCCCGCCGCCCCGCCCCGCCCTGCCGCCCCGCCCCGCACGTCTCAGTCGGAATTTCTGACGCGCGGCGGACATGCACTTCTTTTCCATTTCTCCGGTCCACACATGCATTGGAAAAAATTCCGCTACCCATATTTTTATTTCCAGAGCCAGTCCAGCGTGTTATGGCAGCCCCGACTACTAAAAGGCGGTGAGCACTTAGCACACATTCGAGCTTTCGAGCCATCCAAGGCAAAGCGCAAAGCGTTGCAAATCGTAAAATTCAGAGTGCACAAACGGGACGTTTAGTCAGAGCCACACGCAACCGCAGCCGTTCCACCCCCCCCCCCCCCCCCCCCACCTTTTCCTTAGCTGTCCGACGCTTTTTAGGCCAAGGAAGAGAGCAGATTGAGTCGTTAATTCAATTATTATCCTGACATTTTTACGAGGCTCCGACCCCCTCTCCCCCCGCGCCGGGCTGGCCGGGCACTTAAAACGACAGACATGAAGACGTTTCGCGCAACCCCCTCACCTCCAGCCAGTGCACCAGCCCCCCTCCCTTCCCCGCCCCCGAGCCCGCTCATTTAGCACCGCGCCACGCCATGGCCACGCCGCACGCCGCGGCCGCTCCGATTAGTCCTTGTCAAGACGATCTGGGAAGCAACACGTGCACAGCTGCCTCCGTTTGCCTTGTTGTGTCACAACCCGTCAAAGCGTGTCACAGCACACCACAGGACTCGGCCCAGACGGCCTGCCTCGGGCCTGCCGAGTGACCCGGCGCGGGGTCGGCGCGCTCGGCGCCACCACTGGTCGAAACCCAGTGGCACCGGGTCGAACGGCAAGGAGCCCCTCCGCCCGAATGTCACTTCGTGATGTGTTCCGATGCATTCGCCGACCGGCCATGCGACGGCCTTGGCTTATCGGGCCGTGTGCGCCGTGCGGCCGGCCACAGTGACGGGGCAGTGAGTGAGTGCGGTGACGACGCTGCCAGCGCGGGGGGCTCGCGGCCATCGCGCCCCGCCAGTGCCTCCACTCGCTGCCACTCGCCATCCCCCGGCCGCGCCGGCCGCATCCCCGCCGACCACGTCGACCCCACCGGCCGGCACCACCGGCGGGGCGTGGCGTGGCCGACTCCTTCGCTAATGACACCTGTTAGTGCCGGGGAGGGGAGGGGCGGCGGGCGGGGAGGGAGGGGGGAAGGAAGGACGCGGGAAAGGAAAGGGGTACAGCCAAAAGCGCCAAGCACGCCACGCCCCGGCAGCCGCAATACTGACCAAGTTATCAAGAGCAAGGAGGGAGGGCGTAACTTTCCCCCTACGTGCCCAAGTTTGCTGAAATGCGTGACGGCGGGCGGGGCGGGGCGGGGCGGGGCGGCCGCGTTCCACACTTCCAGACCCAGAAATCGCGCCGGGCGGCCGGGGCGGCGCGGGAGGCGGTCGGAAGGCGAGGCGGTCGTACGTACGGTCGTCCGCGGCGCACGCGGTGGGCCGTGGGCCGGTGGGCCCCCACACCGCGGCACACCGCGGCACACCGCGGCACCGCGCCGCGCTACTCCCCTACTTCTGCGACCGAGTGTACCTCCCGTGTAGCATCTCCATGGCAACCGGAATACAGTACATCCCCCCTCCTCCTCCTCCCCGCCGCCGCGCCGCGCCACGCCCGGCCACGCCACGCCGCGCAAGGAGAGGGAGGGGCTGTCCCAGAGCACGGAGTGGAGCGTGGCAGCGTGGCCACGGCCCAGGTACGGCACCGAGACACTTTCCAAAATACTCATATTTTTTCGGGATTTTTTTGGATGGTTTTTAACAACCGGATTTATAGGCGTGGCTTAGACCGGCCAAAATCTGAGAACTTCCACAGTCCATATAATCAGGGTTAATACGCTTCAGAAGGAGGAGAAAAAAAAAGGATTAAAAAATAGAAGTGGTTACAAGGAAGAAAAAAAAAGCTGATCTGGACCGGATGCGCGCACACCTTCACTCCCCAAATTACAGAGCAATTTTAAACTTTGATTTATCCCTCTTCCGCATTTTGCTTGGCCCGCACCAGTAGCGAGAACTAGAACAATCGGAACATTCCGGCCTCACGGCGCCGCTGTCCACCCGGCGAAAAAAAAAGAAGAGTCCCGTTGTA